AGCAGCCGCCGGGACACCTGCAGCGGAGACGCTGACACATCGCGGCCCGGACCGCATCCCTGTGCGCTCCCGGAGGAGGCGCCGCCAGCCAAGGCTCCCCACGGAGACGCGCAGCCCGGACGCAGCCGCACGGGCCGGGCGCCGGGCGGAGGGCGAGCGCACAGGAGGCTGCGGGGCTCCGACCTGCGCCCACGACGCCCCCGTCCCCACCCCGGCTCCCCCGGACTCCCCGCGGCCCCGGGACCCCTGAGTCCCGCGCCGGCACCCGCAGGGCGCCGCCCGCCAGGGACCGCGCCGGACGCCAATGTCACGGCCGAAGGAGCGCTTTTCCAAGGATGCGCCGCGCCCCGCGCCCCCCGGGGTCTCCTGTCCCCGTCCCGAACCCGGTCCCCCCGCCCCCGTGGTCTCTAGTATCCAAGCCCCCGAGGTCTCCGGTCGCTGCGCCTCCGGGGTCTCCAGCCCCCGCGCCCCCCAGCCGGTCCCTGCGCGCAGCCGGGCGCAGCGGTCTCACTCACGGCAACTCCGGGCTGGCGGCCTGGCCCTGCGCTCTGTCCGCGCGTCCTTCCTTGCCCCGCGGCCGCGGTCTGTCTGGCCGCTCCGCGTCCTGGCGTCCCGACCTCGGCGCCGGGAGCGCGGATGGGGGCAGGGAGCGCGGGCTGCGGGTGGCGCTGTCCCCGGAGCCTGCGCGCCCTCCGCAGCGCCAGCCAGGCGGGCGGCGCGGCTGCAGCCCGAGCTCGAGCTCGACTCAGGCGGCTGCGGGCACAGCCACCTCCGTCTCCTCCGCGCAGGGTGGGGGCAACGGCAGCGGCGGCGCGGGCCGAAGCCCGACCCCCTGGGGTTTCAAGGCTATCCAGGGATGCACCACCCCCCCCCCAGGCCATCCTGTCTTCGGTAGCCCAGCCCGCCCCCTGCCCCTCCCTCTGGCTGAGCCCCTGACCCCTTCTGACCCCTTCCCAGCGGTCTCCCCAAAGAACCCCTTCCCCCCCCACCCCCCCGCTCCAGACTAGCCTCTGGCAGGCCCATTCCTCCTGGAGTCTGACCCTCGCAGTCCCCAGCCCCCCAGTTGCAGTCCCTCTGTGGCAGGATGGAGCACCCCAGTGCCCAGCCCTGCAGGACCCCGTCCCTAACCAGAGGTGACACCCCCAGTGCCAGCCCCCTGAGCGACCAAGCATACCCCGGTAGAAGCCTTGCCTCTCCTCTCCCCAAGTCTGACCCCCACTCCAGCGGCGCCCCTGAACCACCTTCCTAATCCAGTTCCCTCAAACTCGGTCTCAGAGCCCATGTCCTCTCACCAGTTGGCCCGTCTGCCCATGGGGCCAGATGTCCTTTTCCAGTCCTAGGGACACATTCTCCTTGGAGCTCAGTCCACTCTCCAGCCCTCCCCTCTCCAGGGGCCCAGCCTGTCCCCCTGTGTCCAATCCCCCTGGGTCCAATCCCCCTGGGTCCCACCCCCCTGGGTCCCACCCCCCTGGGTCCCATCCCCCTGGGTCCCATCCTCCTGTGTCCAATCCCCCTGGGTCCAATCCCCCTGGGTCCCACCCCCCTGGGTCCCATCCCCCTGAGTCTCATCCCCCTGGGTCCCATCCCCCTGGGTCCTATCCCCCTGGGTCCCATCCCCCTGGGTCCCATTCCCCTGGGTCCTATCCCCCTGGGTCCAATCCCCCTGGGTCCCACCCCTCTGGGTCCCATACCTCTGGGTCCCATTCCCTTGGGTCCCACTCCCCTGGGCCCCATCCCTCTGGGTCCCATCCCTCTGGGTCCTATCCCCCTGGATCCCATCCCCCTGGGTCCCGTCCCACCTGGTCCCATCCCCTGGGTCCCATCCCCTCTGGGTCCCACCCCTCTGGGTCCCATCCCCCTGGGTCCTGCCCACCCGGTCCCATCCCCCTGGGTCCCATCCCCTCTGGGTCCCATCCCCTCTGGGTCCCATCCCCCTGGGTCCCATCCCCTCTGGGTTCCATCCCCTCTGGGTTCCATCCCCTCTGGGTTCCATCCCGCTGGGTCCCATCTCCCTGGGTCCCGTCCCACCCGGTCCCACCCCACCTGGTCCCATCCCCCCGATTCCATCCCCTGCAGGTGCTGTCCCCACACGTCACATGCCCTAAGCAGTGCCTGCCCCCCACACACAGCCTGTCTTCATCCACCCACCACTTCATCTCTCTCTCACTTGGCCCACTGCCCCCACTCCTGCAAAAGCACCAGTGAACCCCTCCATCACCAGGAGACCCTCAACCATGAAGGTGCCTCTCCGAGCTGGATCCTGTTCCGTCCATGGGCCCCGGGCCCCACCGCCCTGAAGCATGGCGGCCATCTGCCTCTCATCCCCTCAAACTGTGACCCAGAGGCCAGCTGTGCTCTGAGCATCTCCCCCTTGAAGACCCCTTCCCCTTGGACCCCCTTCTCCTCTTTACCCTCTCCCCCCTGAGCCTGGGTCCTCAGGGACCCCTTCTCTCTTCAGGGTCCTGCCTGCCTCTGCTTGGTCCTCTGAACTCTTCTCTCCAGAACTCCATGCACCAGCCCGGCCTGGCACAGGTACACCCCTCTTCAAGCTCTTCCCGTCCCCCACCCCCAGCCTGGCACAGCCTCCTCTGGGCTTGTCAGGAACCTGGGGCACAAAGTCAGCCTTAAATGCTGCTAACACTGGTTTGTGGGTGAGCCCTCCGTTCTGTCCCATGCTGGCCACACCCGAGGTGCCAAGGCCAGGGCCCAGGCATGAGGGCCCTGGGGGTCTGTGGGGAGCCAGGGTTCAGGTCTCCTCACCAACACCCACTGCCCCTTCGGGACCGTGTGTGGGAACATCCAGACCTCCCTCGGGGGCCGAGCCTTCACCGAAGGGGCCCTTCAGCCTGAGTGGGGCCTGGGCACCACACCACTGGGTTTCCCTGGCGTCTCTTCCCCACCAAGGCTCTGCCGCCTGCCACAGACTCACCGGTCCTCTCTGGGCAGGGCTGTGGGGGTGACCAGCGGGGCCCCGTCTGCTCACAGCCCACCTGGTCCCAGGCAGCAGGCAAGGGGCACTGGCCCACAGAGTCTGCTCCAGGCCGCAGCAGATCAGACCCCTCTCCTGCAGACCACGTGAGGCTGCTCTCTGAGGCCTCCATGGGCTCCCACCTGGGGGACCTCAACGCAGGGTGTGGGCTGGAAGGAACAGAGTGGGTCCACATGGGCCCTGGGCTGGGGCAGAGCAGGTCTGCAGGGAGGAGCTGCTGTTAGTCACCTTCTAGAGACTCAAGGCTAAGGGTGGGGTTGGAGGCAGGCATTGGGCCCAGGGTGGCCGCAGGGCCAGGCTCTGGGCAGGAGCATGAATGACCACAGGGCCTGGGCCAGGGCTGGGCTTGGGGCTGGGCCAGCCGTGCTGGTCCCCAAGTTCCAGAGCAGGAACAGAGGTACCCTCTGGAGGCCCGAGACTCCAGCTGGGCGGGTCACATGCATGAGTCCAAGCTGTGGGCCAGGGCCTTGCGACCTTGCCAGCTGAGGTGTGGCCTGAGCCACGAGAAACGGGCCCCTCCCGGAGCACTGCTCTCCGGCCTCGGAGCACACGGCTTGGATGACAGCCTCCCGGCAGCCCTGCCAGGTGCCGGTCTGCCCGCTCCTGCTCATATTTCAGGTGCAGAGAACAGGGGCACGTGTTTGCCAGCCTCCTGGCTTCTGGCTGAGCCCTAGAGGTGCTCCCCGAGGGTTGGCCCGAGGCCCCAGACCCCAAGGCCCGGCCAATGGCAGCCAAGGCCCTGCAGGCCGGAGAGGCACCAGGCCAGTGACGATGCCACATGTGCCAAATCCTACACCAGGGGCTCACAAACTCCTATCCATCCCTCAAAACCTCCTGGAAAATGTCCTTTTCCCTACCCCTCCACAGAAGCCATAAACAGGTGGGAGGGTGTCCCTGCGGCGAGGGGATTCCTCACTCTGATCCCTGAACCCTGTGACTGTGACCCCAGGTGGCAAGCAGAGGGCGAGGCCACTTTCGGAGCTGCCTACTCCCCACACACCCCACTTGGGCCAGCCCGTCCCTTCCCCGCACACCCCACTTGGGGAACACAGGACCCTGCTGCTGAGGTCTCCTCCAAGGGTAGAGGAAAGCATGACAGCCACAGAACACGGTCTGCTCCTGGCAAAGGCATTGGCTCACCAGAAGCCTGCAGCCCGGCCACACCCTGCTGGTCACTGCTCCGGGCCTCGGCACGAGCCAGCAATCAGCCCAAGCCTCCATCACCCCAGGTGCCGAGCACCTCCCAAGCAACCCCCTCCCGAGTCAGCCTCCCCCACACCCGGATCTAAAGCCACCCACCCCACCAGCACAAAGCACGCACCACACACAGATCCATAACTTTATTTCCAGGTCAACTTTGGCTCCCAGCCACACAACAAGGGGCAGCCTCTGAGAAGGCCGGTGCCAGCACCCTCCCGTCGCCTTCCCAGATGGGGTCAGGCCCCAGCATGACCCACCGGCCTCCCAGGGCTGGCTCGTCTCTTTCCTGCTGGCCCTTCCTTGCTGGGCCTGAGATGAATGGACGGGTGGGGGTGGCACTGCCCAGCTCCAGGCCCAGGCTGGGCGGAGGGAACCGGGAAGGCAGCCTGGTGCAGAGCGGCGGCTCGGCCCCGATGCTCAGCCCAGAAGCTCTGCCAGGGCATCAGCCCCCAAGGCCCAGGGGGAACAGGACGGGGAGAGGGAGGAGGAAGCGGGTCCTGGGATGCACAACCGAGCTGAGCTGGGTGTCCCAGGTGAGTGAGAGGGCTCTGAGCACTAATGAGCCTACTGGCTGCCCTCAGCCCCGCCCCTCCGTCAGACAGACAGACAGACTGCAGGCAGGCGGCATTCTGCAACCGGGGAAGGGAAAACCACAAATCGGTGCCTGCCAGGCAGAGAGCCGAGCAGCTGCAGGTGTGAGAGTGCAAGAGAGTGTGAGTGTGTGTGAGTGTGTGAGTGTGGGTGGGCAGCCGGGAGGGCGGGCACTGCTTCCTCCCACCATTCTCCTCCTCTCCTGCCAGGAGGCAGGCGGCTACAGCTTGGCGGCCTCGGCCAGGCCCACGCGGTTCTCGTCGCGGTCGAACACGGTGTAGTAGCGGCCGATGAACACGTCGCCCAGGATCCAGAGCGGCCCCGCGGGCGGCGGGATGTCCATGCCCATGAAGCCGCTGAGGCAGATGGTCTTCCCGCCCTGGGACACCTGGGAAGGCGGAGCGAGTGTCAGCACCAGCCGCCCACCCCGGGCTCCCCGCCTCTAGGCCGCCTGGCCCCGCCCACACCCCCACTGCCCCGCCTCCAGGCCACCCATCCCCGCCCCCACCCCCCACTGCCCCGCCTCCAGGCCGCCCGGCCCCGCCCCCACACCCTGGCCTCCCCACCTTGAGCGTGTAGTCCTCCGCACGCAGCTTGTAGCCTTTGCCCCCCAGCTTCAGGGTGACCTCGGGCAGGCTGGACACCTTCTCACAGGGGATGATGTACTGAAGGAAAGAGGGCAGTGTGTGGAGGGGACAATGTGTGGGGGGACAGTGGCCTGGGGAATAGCCACCTGGGTACCCGCCCCTCCTTCTGCCGGCCTGGCGGCCCTGCTCACCTCTCCCTGGATGAGCGGCACGGCCCCGATGGCCTTCTGCAGCTCCCGCACCTCGTCCACGGGGCCCACGATGAGAGAGGTGCCCGTGTCCACAATGGCCTCACAGCCCTCCTTGCACAGGGTCAGGCCGCTGCCCACGTCGACCCTGCAGGGGTCGTGGGTGTGTCTCCCAGGGCCACCCAGCACCCCCACCGTGCCAGCTGCAGCCCTGGCAGGCGGCTTTCTCCTCTCTCAGGCCTTGAGCAGTCGGGCAGCAGAGCCCAGAAGCCAAGAGCAGGTTCACGGCCAGTGGAGAGGGCAGCAGGTGACCAGAGGCACCTAGGGCCAGCGGGGCCCAGGGCCCGGCCCATCCATGGCCACAACCCCTCCCAAACCGACCAGGGCCTGGGCCGGTGGCTCCCCAGGGACCTGCTCGCTCCCTGGGGGCCTGCTGACCAGCAGCTGGAGCCCCCGCCCCCTCGCCCCAAACGCGGCTCGGCCAGTACTCACTGCTCCATGTGGACCTGCCAGTAGGCTTTGCGGGTGACGTTGAGGTAGGAGAGGGGGCCTTTGTAGTACTTGGAGTCAGTGCCGCCCAGCATCAGCTCACCCCCTGGCTGTGCAGTCGGGTCCCTGCAAGGTCAGGGAGGGGCAGTCAGCCCGCTGCCCGCCCCATGTCCAGCCCGAGGGCCAGTGGGACAGGGAAGGCCGGGCCAGGTCACAGGCCAGGGGTGGTTGGAGCAATCTTAGAGAGCTTGCTCAGGGACCTTCCTGAGCCCGCAGGATGGAAGGATCCAGAAGAGGCACAAGAAGGGAGGGCTCCGGTCCCACACCCCGAGTGGTCTGCAGGCCCGGCCCAGCGCCCGTGGTCAGGGCCTCCTGGTCTGCCAGCAAGGACAGCAGGGTCAGGCTGGAGGGCAGACAGGGACGGGAATGCTAGGAGCCAAGGAGGGGAACCAGAGGACTGAGGGGAGGCGCGGGGCAGCCCCGAGCGTTGAGCTAGCTGTTCCTGGCCTGTACCCTCTGGGCAGGCAGCCACTGGGCCACATGGGTCCCTCACTAGGCCCGGCTCTGGTTCTGAGGAAGGCCCACCCACCAAGGCTGGGCAGGGCCCGGGCATGGCCCCGGGGAGGCACGGCCCCCGGGAAGGCACGGCCCCCGAGAAGGCACGGCCCCCGGGAGGCACGGCCAGGGCCCCAGGGAGGACAGGGCCGCTGCAGCTGGGCCCGCTCCCGCCTCTCCCCTGCACATCGGCGCGGCCGGGCCGTGGTGAGACGGGGCCGCCCGCCCACCTGTTGAGGTAGAAGGAGAAGATGTTCTTCTCCACCAGCTTCTGCTGCATCAGGTTGTCGAAGACCGGCACCACGTGGTTGACCGAGATGCCGGGGTAGGCCATGCCCAGGATGCCGTCGAACTTGGCCGCGATGAAGGTGATGCCCGGCTGCTTGGTGGCCTCGCCGAAGACCTGCCGCTCCACCTTGACGCCACCCGGGCCCGCCTTGCCCGAGTTACAGGGCACCTGGGGGGGTGGGGGGGAGCGGGGGGGGGGGGAGAGGAAGGGGTACAGGGGGTCAGGGGGCCTCATGGACCCATGAGCCTGTCCCCGAGCCCCAGGCGGGCGGTCCCAGCCAGCCCTGCATGTGCACGGCCACAGCTACAAAATGCAGCGGGTCCCTGCCCATCACCTGGCACGTGGAGCTGAGGGCAGGGGGCTGGAATGAAGGGCTGGAAACATGGGGGGGCGAAGGAGTTGAGGGGTTTGGGGGGCCCATTCTGGCAGGAGAACTTTAACAGGGATCGGGGAGCACAGATGGAGGCCCTGCTCAGCTCCAGCTCCCACTCCTTCCCACCTGGGCAGCTTCTGCCCTCAGCCCAGCCCAGGGGACAGGGCCCCCACTCTCAACCCTGGCAATCGAGGCCATGCCCCCGCCCCTGCCCTGGCAGGCTGCAGGCAGAGCAGGATGTGAGAACGGGCTGTGCTGTGGCTGTGCTGTGCGGGTGACAGTGGAGGAGGGAGCATGTTGGGCCACATCCTGCCTCGGCCAGAGCAGCTGGGGGCGGGGCCAGGCAGACTCGGGGGTGGGGGGGGGGTGGGGAGGGTGGCCCAGAGAAGCCAAAGCGCCTGGGAAAGGGCTGCTGGCCCTCAGCTGGCCCAGGGGCCACGGCCTGGGCCGCCTGCAGCCGAGGACAGGCCGGCAGGAGGCTCGCTGCCTTCCTGTGCCTCAGGGGCCAGGGCCAGGGCTGGGAGGGACCTTCTCTTTGCTCCTCGTCCCCCACAACTCCAAGGCCAGGTCTCGAGCCGGCTCCACACCCAGAGACTGTCAATGGCCCGCTGGCCCCTCCTGAGCGGGAGCATGCCCCCCCTACCCCCCCGAAGGCTGGTAGGGACCGAAAGCACCCCAGCCCTCCCCACTTCTGTGCCCCGTGTCCTGCCAGCTGCCTGAGGGGCTCCCCACACTTCTGCCCTCCCCAGAAGCAGGACACCCCCCCCCCCCCGCCAGGACCAGCCCCAAGCACCTGCGGGCATCTCAAACCCAAGCATCAGATTGAGCCAAGTCCTCCCACAGGCCCACCTGCCCACCCACCTGCAGGGAGCCAGGGCGGAGGCCGCCCCATAAGCCACCCAGTGGGCCCTGGTCCCAAACCTGCACCTGTGCACCCCGGCTCAGCACCGCCTCGATGTGGAAACCCTCGCTCTGCCCCACTGGCCCTTCGAACCCGTGGCAAACCCCTGGGTCAGGCCTGCTCCCTTCCCGCCCCCACGCTGTCCCCCGCGGGCACGGCTCTCTCCCCTCCCTCCAGACCTGCACTCGGCTGTGACTCTGGCGTCCCCCCGGCTGACAGCCACTGCCGCCCAAATCAGCAACCTCTCCAGGGAGCCAGAGCCACCAAGGCCACCAAGAGAGAGGGACTCACCGACACGGTGTCCTGGCTCAGGTACCCCGAGAGGCTGCCCGAGCCGTAGTGGATGGCGAAGGTGGTGCCGTTCTCCACGTAGGTGCTGGACTTCCCGCTGTTGTACTTGTGGTGGATCCCTGTGCCACGAGAGCGGTCAGCCTGCCGCCCGCTGTGGCCTCCGAGCCTCGACCCCACACTGGGACAGGCTGCCCCCGCCGGGCCCCGCACCGAGCCCCCCGCCCAGGGGCCCAGGACAGTGGGCTAGCACCAGCCTGGGTCTTGCCCCATCCCGGCCGCCACAGGCCCAGCCCACGAGGAATGAGGCTGGCAGGAACAGGTTCATCCGGAAAGCTGGAGCCCTGGGGCCGGGCCGGTTGGTGCGTCTAAGAATCGGGAGCAGCAGGCTGCTCCCGTGCGGCCTCCTCCCCGGCGGTCAGCCCACAGCCACCCCCCGAGACCGGAGGAGGCAGGCAGAGGCTGGGGAGCAGCCCCCAGCGCCCAGGGAGAGCTAGTCCCCCACCCCACAGGGCCTCGGCCTCCCTGCCCGCTCCCAAGCTGAGTGCGGGCAGTGCAGGGCGGGCCCGGCCCCTCAGACACCCTCCCCACTTGAGGCCGGACAGACGCTTGGCTTACAGCAGGCGATGTCCAGCAGCTTGCAGTGGATGGACGGGACCCACAGGTTGGAGGAGCCGGTGTCGAAGACGACAGTGAAACACTGTGGGGGCGTCCCGATGCCGATCTCCCCGTAGTACTGGGCCTGGGGGAGGGGAGGGCTGTCAGCCGCAGAGGGGCCCCTGGTCCAGACCTGCCACCCAGGCCCCGGCGGGCAGCCCCACCCCTGCTTGGCCAGGGTGAGAGGAGGGAAGACCCCCATAGCCCCATTTGGAACATAAAACCAGTGTCCAGTCAGTTAGGACAGGCTCTGTCAGCCATGAGCCTCGGGCAGGGAGGACCTGAGCCTCAGGAGGGGAGGACCTGAGCCTTGGGCGGGAGGACCTCCAGGGCCCTGAAGGGAGAGGAGAGACTGCCTCTCCAGGACTCTGGGCCTCAGTTCCTTCCCTGCTCCTGCTCCTGCCCGACAGGGCCAAGCCTGGAGGGCTCCCAGGTAGAGGAGTCCAGGTGGCCAAGGGGAGAAGGGACACCCTGAGGTTCGGAGTCCCACACGGCCCAGCCTCGCTGCCTCACAGCTCTGGGCCTCAGTTCCCCATCTCACACAGAAGGAGCAGGGGCCGCCAGGGTGCTCCAGGGAGCATATGGGCGTATATGCCCCTGTGAACCTCAAAGGGAAGCCCCATCCTTGGCCCTCTTGTAGGTCAGAGGGCATTCTTGAGCTTGTGGTCACCTGGGCCCTGCCTGCCTGGGCACTGGGCATCCCCTCCCCCAGGGAAGGAGCCCGGAACACCAGTCACCACAGGATTCTGGCACCAGTCCCCCTCCCCGCCCCCCTCCCCCGGGCATCTCTCTCTGGCCCATTGAGCAGCTGACTCATTAATTGTCCGGATTGGGGGGGATGGAGAATGACTCAGCAAATACCCGAGCTCGGGCACTGAAGAAAATGAGGAACTGGTCAGTTGACCCTGGGCCACGGTCCCCCTCCACCGGCCGGATCACATGCCTGAGGCTCCAGATTCCTGGCATGGCCGGGCTCGGGACAGCCAGGACTAAGTGCGCGGCCCCTGCCCCAACCCCAGGTGGACCCAAGGCCGATGGCAGCAAGAGGCCAGCTCCCTAAGACTCTGCTGGGGCACCCCAAGATGTCCCCAGACCTGGGATAGGATGACCAGGCCCCAGCATGCGGTGTGGCTTCCAGAACGTTCCAACCCTGAGTCTCTACCCTGCTCAGGCGGCGGGCACAGACTGGGTCACAGGTTGCCCCGGGCCTGCCAGCAGGTGGGCAGGAGCACAAGCTCCAAAGCAGTTAGTTACACCCCAGCAGGCAGGCCCAGAACCCGATCTCCGGGGGGCAGGCCTGTGCCAGACTCTGGGCTCCCCACGCCGGCCAGTGGCCCTGCGCCCAGCTCCTCATGGGGAGGGTGACGCTGGCCCACACCCCACAGGCCGGCCTCGAGGAGGAGGCACTGCCCGCCTCTGAGCCCATGGTCAGTGGCCCGCAGAGGTCACCGTCTCAGGTGCGTGCCAAGGTCACCCCAACCAACCCTCCCTCCCAGCCAGGCAGGAGAGCGGGCTGTGCAGACCCCAGGGATGTGGGCTGGGGGCGTGGCCAAGTGGAGGCTCCGCCCACACAGGGCAGGTGAGCCCTCAGAGGCCGGTGCTGAAACAAGAGCATCCTCCACCACGCGAGCGGCTCCCACGGACCTTCCCCCAGAGCTGTGTTCTGGGTTAGCCTGCCACCCCCGCCAAGGTGGACACACACTCCCACACTCACGTCCATGTAGTTCTTGAGCACCTCGGGGACGGGCCCCCCGGTCACCGCGGGCACCCCCAGGGCGTATTTGGAAAGGGAGCCCTGGGCGATGAGTTTTTCCACGGGACCTCCCATCTCCGACATGGTCCGGCGGATGGACGTGAACTTGTGCAGCGGGATTCTGTTGAGAGGGGGACAGGGGCGGGGCTCCTTAGGGCAGGGCAAGCCTCTGCCTCCCTCCTGGACCCCCTGCACCCACACCCAAGCATCCCCGCTGGAGGCAGCCAGCACCTGCTCCACCCCCTCCTCAGCCACCAGGGCCTTCAGAGACCCCCTCGACTCCTGTCCACACTGAGATCTCTCCCGTGATCTCCTCTGGTGGGATCCTTCCAGCGTCGGCAGCCACCTGTCACCCCTTTGCTCTGAGCCCCGTTCACCTGGCCCTCTGGCCGCGGCTCCACTCAGACGGTAGGCCCCCATGCTCCCACCTCCCCTGTCCTCCCTGGGGCGGCTGCCTCCTGGCATCAGATTGGGCTTCAATGCCACCCCCTCTGAGGAGTCCTCCCTGACCAGCCTCCGCTGCCCTTCACATCACCCCCGTTTCCTTCCATCGCTCTCACCCCACACTGCAGTGACCCCGGGCACGTACTGCTGGCCCCTCACTCTCTCCTCCCCACTATGCAGACCTGGGGGGACCAGGACTGCACCCGGAGAGCGGGGTCTCTGCTGGCAGCCCCCTGGTGCCCCCCTGGGAGCACCCTTCACAGGAGCCTCTGCTTCCCAGCACAGGGGCCCTGGTTGTGTGGTGCACGGGCCTTGGCCATCAGAGCAGAAAGGGGTCCCTGGACACCCTGGGCCTGAGCTCGCTCTCTGCTGCCATGGTGAAGAGGCGGGGCAGGAGAGCACTGAGCAAGGTTAGCAGCCACCTGGGATTCGGAAGTTCAAGGTGATGGCTGGCTGTTGCCAGCAAGCCCAGGGCGTGTCCTGGGAAAATGGGAGGCTGGTGGGAAGAGCCCGGGGTTCCTGCCTGGGGGGAGGGGAGGGCCGTGCCCTGCAGCAATCCAGGAGCCAGCAGCCTCCTGCCCCACTGACCGGGCGGTCTGAGGGGCACTGGCCCCGCTATCCCGCCCAGAACCCTCACCCAAGTTCAGAGGCCTGTGGGTGGGGCAGAGGCAGGCTCAGGCCTGCGGGCTGCTTCCCCCACAACTGCTCCAGTTGGGGCTCCTCACCCCGGGTCACAGCCCACGCAGGGCAGCCCTTTGGCAAGGCCCAGCCGGCTCAGCCCACAGCCAGCTCCCCAGCCTATGACCTCATCCACTTTCCCACGGGCATAAGGCCCTCGGCCCAGAAGGACCGATTGGGGCCCAGGCAGGATACACAGCCCCCAGGGCTGGGGGCGCAGAGGCATAAAGGAGTGGGCCTGCTGGCAGAGCAGGAAGCCTAGCAAGGGCAGGAGAATGGGGGTGAGGGGGCCCTCAGCCTGGCACAGGGGTGCAGGCCCCCAGGCCTGAGGCCACCCCCAGACCCTCTACTTCAGCTAACACCCTTCCTACCTCTTGGGTTTTGGGACTCTTAGACCTTAAGACTTAGGGTGGCTCCGAGGGTCTCCTAGTCCGTGGCCTGCGGTGAGATCCCACGTGACAAAGCGGGGGAAGGCAAGCCCAGTTCCCAAAGGGGAGCCCCAAGCGGGAGACCAACTCGCCCAAGTTCAGGGGCCCGTAAGCCAACACCGGGGCCTCCGGACTTCCACACACGGGCGCACAGGCACCCACCCGCCGGTCCTGGGAGGCTGGGTCGGCCCGGAGGCACAGCGCCCTCCCTCCTGCCCCGCCAGGATGTGGTGGCGGGGTTGGGGTGGCCGGGGCGTGAGCGAACCCCGCGGAGCGAACCTCCGCACCCCAGGGGGCCCTGCAGGAGGCCGGGGCTCCGGGTGGGGGGGCGGAGGTCATGAGGGGCCGCGGGCCTCACCTGATGAGCGCGGCGGCGGGCGCGGCCAGCAGGCCGAGCAGGAGCAGCAGGCGGGGGGGCTGCATGGCGGCGGCGGCGGCGGCGGCGGTCGGGTCGGGTCGGGTCGGGTCGGAGCGGACGGCGGGGTCGGAGCAGACCGCGCTGAGGTCGCGCGCTTATAGCCGGGATGACGGCGCAGTCGGGCCGGGTCAGCTGACTGGCTTGTTTGCGCCCGGGCCGGTCACGTGGGCGAGGCCGGCGTGCGCGGGGCGGGGCCTGGGCGGGCGGGGGCGGGGCTAACCCGGGACACGCCCCCGGCCTGCAGGGAGCCTCCTGCCTGGTCCCCGCGGGTCGCGACCTTCACCCTCGGAATCGCGGGGACCCCCCGGCTCGGGCGTCACGGGCCCCGGGGGGCACAGCCACGGGCCTGAGCTGCAGGGTCCCGGCCCGGACGCCCCTGGCCGCCTTCAGCGGGCGGCACCCGAGTCTTGGCTCCTCCTCCCCAAGCCCAGGCCCGCAGGCGGTGCTTTAATGGGGCTCTCAGCCCCCCTTCCCTGGGGCGCCCTGCTCCACCTCCTCTGTGCCCTCCGCTCCTGCGCCCCCCCCTGGCGCCCGGACCCCCCGCTCCCTTTGCCTGGGAGTCTCAGGGACCCTCAGCCACCCTCAGCCTCCCTCTGCAGGTGTCCACGACCTGCCCCCACCCCGCCCCTCACTTCCATCTTTCCAGAGCAAGGCCAGGCCTGGCCCTGGTCCTCCGCCTCAGCCCCTCTTCCTCTGGGACCCCAGCCCGCCCTCCCACGTCCTCCCCAGGCCTCAAGTCCATGAGGACTGGGTTCAAGGGCCTGGGGAGTGAGCCCTCTGCTGTGGCCACAGTGACCGCTGCCACAGGACCACCCTGCGCACCTTCTTGCTCCATTTGGGGCCTGGGTCTACGCTCAGTCCCTGAGGAGGGGCCGGCTCCATGCCTGTGCCCAGACCCAGCCAGGGGAGGGGCCGGCCTTAACCTCCAGGAGGAGTTAGAGGTCATGCCAAGAAGGGAACGAGGTGGAGGAATGTGCTAGAACGTGACCCCTGTCCCAGAGGCACTCGGGAGGCCGGCAAGGCCACGGGAGGGGGTGGGTGGAGAGGCGGCTTATGGCTGGGTGGGAGGGCAGAGGCGGCAGTGGTCTGGCTGGGGCTGCCTGGAGCCAGGCTGAGAGTCGGGAGCCCCCTCCTCCCTGCCCCCCCCCCCGACACACAGAGCAGCTGAGAAGAGACCTCTGGTGCCCAAAGGCCGGGGAGGCCCCTCCCCCCCACACCTGTCAGTCCCCTCAGGACAGAGGCCCTCTCCATGCTGTTCCCAGGATCCCTCAGCACCGAGTCTGGCATGTGGTGGGTGCTCAACAGCTCCGTGTGGGAGGGACAAGGGTGTGCTCGGGGTCCTTCCTCTGTGAGTGGCCAGAGGGCCACAGGGGGCCCTCCCCCGGTGCCCTGCCCAGTGTGGAGCAGGCCCAGAAAGAGGCCTCCCTCAGGCCAGAAGCCATGGGCCAGCAAAGTCTCAGGGCCTCTCTGACCTTTGACCTGTTCAGCATCTAGTGGCCCAGGGCCCTGGCGGGCCTGATGGGGACAGGGCTCCCACGGCAGCTGAGCAGGTGTGGGGCCCACAGGTCTGAGCTGGGCGGGCACTCAGGGCATGGCTCTTGGTCTCTGGTTTCTAGTGGGTGTGGGCCAGGGTCCAAGGACTCCAGAGGGACAGCCAAGGCCCAGGAGGGGGCTGCTCGGTGAGTCAGGGGACAAGATGGGGTTGGAAGCCATGCCACATGACCACCCCTCAGACCCTGGGTAGCCATCCCTCCCAGACTTACTAGTCCAACACCCACCTCGTGCTCTGGGTGCTGGGACGTCACGGGACCCACACGGACTCCCTCCCTCATGGAGGTCACCCTCCAGGCCGGGGACCGACACCACGAGGGCTCCTGAAGGAGACAGGGCTTCGGGGGGAGACGGGGGCCGGAAAGGGCCACGGCGACAGGAAGGAGGTGTTGCAATGGAGAAGCCTCGTGTGGGCCGCCTGAGGAGGTGATGGCTCAACACTGAGGCCGGGGATGGACCGCCTGGTGGGGAGCAGCCAGCTGAGCGGAGCCCAGGCAGAGGGGGGAGCTGCATGTAGGGGTCAGAGAGGAGCCCCGCTGATCCCGGTCTTGTCCCCACGCTGAGCGCTCCTAGAACTGCCCCCAACATGGGGGAGCGCCGGGGGCCTGGCTGAGGCTGGGCCGGGCCCAGAGGCTGGGTGGAGCTGTCAGCTTTGGGGCACACTTGGGAGGCAGGGCCAGGAGGGCTCTGGCAATGGGACAAATGGAGGGCCATGGAAGGATCCATGCTCAGAGGGTCTGTCCAAAACAGCCAGACGGTGGCATGCCATTGGCTGAGACGGATGCGGGAGAAGGGACCTGGGGCGGGGGGCAGCTCAGTGTTGGGGTGTGCCGTGGAGACGGCGCCCAGGGCCCTGCAGTGCCTGTTAAGTGGCAGCAGCTGTTGGAGCTGGGAGTGGAGGGTGCAGGTCCAGGCTGAGAGAGCAGGACCAAGGGATGCCCACCCGACTCCCTGCCTGGCGGACACTAAGCCACGCTCCTCGGGTGCTGTGGGGATTCCACTCCCAGCAGCCCTCTTGCCAGGAGATGCCACTCCATGCACTTTGACCCCAGAGCACCAGGCGAGAGACTGCCTCCCCCGGCACACTGAGGAACCCCAGCCTTCACTGACCCTCCAGGACTCAGGTGTGCCGTGCCCTCCTCACCAGTCAGCGGTAACTCAGTGACGAGACTGGACACAACAAGGGCGGGAGCAGACTAGAGGGAGCCCAGGGTCTCCCACCTTAGCAGGTTAAAGATGGGGGAGGGGAGCAGAGGGACCAGAGACCAGGAGAGGCGTGCCGAGGCCCAGCGAAGAGCGACTCCAGGAGGGGTGGCTGCTGGGACTCGGGTTCAGGGGAGCAGTCCCTGGGAAAGGGGCTCTGCTCTGAGCCCGGCGTGGACTGTCTGACCCTGAGGAGAGCTGCCCAGGCGTGGCGGGGTGAAGTCTAGGGGAGCGGCTCCTAGGAGGGGACAGGGGATGCTGGTGTGCAGGCAGATAGCGGACGGGGACGGGGTGGGGGTGGAGCGGAAGCGTCTCCTCTAACGTCAGGGACGGGGTGGGGGGGTCTCAGAACGCCGTGCAGCTGGATGGAAGTATCTGTCCTCCCTCACACCGCACCCTCCCAGGCCCGGGCGGGTTAGCGGGAGAAACGCCAGCATGACCTCTGAGGGGACGAGGCCCAGGGAGACTCCTCGTGGTCTGACAATCCACCCAGACGTGCGGTTTCAGCAGGAAGCTCCCACAAGACACCGGGGCGCCTGACAAAACGACATCAAACCCCAGCGGGGAACAAGGATCTGATAAGGATGTGCCTCGGCGGCGAGCCAGGCACTCCGGAGCTCAACCTGAGCAAGAGCACAGCCCGGCTGGAAACGGGCGAAGACCCAGATGCCAGGGATTAGGAGGAGCACGGGGCACGAGCCCGCGAGAGACACCTGTGTCATGTGGGACGTGTTCTCCGAAACAGCAGTGAGACATCGCTGCACGCCCACCAGAAGGCCCAGATCCAAACGGAGAGCACACGCCGGGGGCGGAGCACAGGAATGGCACTCGGGGCTGGTGGGGGTCAGGGGTGGGGGGTGGGGAGGGGGGGGCAGGCACTTTGAAAACAGTCTAGTGGTTTCTGACGAAACCAGACACAGTCTCACCGCAGGATCCAGTAACAACCCTCCTTCAAAGACTTGAAAACTTCGGTCGAGCCCGGCCGGCGTGGCTCAGGGTTGAGCGTCAACCATAAACCAGGAGGTCAGGGTTGGATTCCCAGTAAGGGCACATGCCTGGGTTGTGGGCTCAATCCCCAGTGTGGGGTGTGCAGGAGGCAGTGGATTGATGATTCTCTCTCATCATTGATGTTTCTATCTCTTCCTCTTCCTTCCTTTCTGATACCTCCTTTCCTTTCTGCATTTTAAAAAAGAAAGGGGAGAAACCAAGATGGCTGCATAGGTAAACACCTGAACTTGCCGCCTCGCACAACCACTTCAAAACTACAACTAAAAGACAAAACGGACATCATCCAGAACCACAGGAAGGCTGGCTGAGTGGAAATTCTACAGCTAGAAGGGAAGAGAAAAGCTCACGGAGTCTCAGAGGAGGTGCGGAAGTAAAGTACACAGGTATGGAGACACATGAGGAAAGAGCTGGCAATTGAGTACATGGCTGGCTTTTTCAATCAGGAGGGAGACACAAGCTCCCGACTGCTCTGAACTCCAGTTCTGGGCGAGACTCTGGGGACCCAGACTCATGTGGAGAGAAACTGGACGGTCTGGCAGAGGGCGAACTCGAGGGCGGCTTTCTCTCAGAGGATACTGAGACCCAGGGGCCTCTTAGGGCAAAGCTGAGGATCACCTATAGCTGTTTGCTTTGCCCTGTTGATTTCCTGAGACCCTGCCCCACCCAATTTACAACCCCACCCCATCTGGTGCAGAGGCTTTTGCATATGAGTGGCCTGGCCCTTTGCAATCTAAAATTACCTAACAAACTGCAGCTGAGTCAGAGAGCCCCAGAACTTCCAAAAGAAGGCTCAAGGCCCCATAACATCTTGCATTGCTTCACAGCTTGGCCTCATCTGGGCACCTCCAAACCCCAAACGAAGAGGAGGAATCTGCAGATCTCTTCATAGCTCCTGCTGGGTGGCCTTAGGCAGAGGCTAAATTAGCACCTCATTGGAGATCCAAGAGCCAGTGTACCCAGTGGTCAGAGAGAGAGACTATCAGATTACAACTCCTCATATCCATAAGGAACACACTCAGGGGGCAGACTCAGTGAGCACCAAAGCCCCACTTAAGCAAGACCTGCCCCATAAGGGTATCTCCAGCACAGAAGTTGTCCCATCGTAGACACAACTGATCCTCACAGCCTGGAGGTCAACTCCTCCCAGTGATACCAACAACAGTCAAGGCCTAACTACACCAAGACTGTGCACACAGCCCACAAAGGGGTGCACCAAGAGTGTCCACCTCAGGTAGTTGAGGAG